AGCTTTTCCATCCCACCCTGGCTTTTAGCCAGTTTTATTAGGTCATTTAAAAAGGCTCGCCCACTTTGTTAAGTCATGCACTTATTGTAGCCAGTATGCTTCCCAGGTGAGTTAAATAATTAAAGCAGCTGGTAATTCATGAAGGTAAAAGGATATTTGATGGATGTTGTTTTCCCCTGCTAAGGAGAGGAGGCACAACAGCTGGAGTCTCATGATTTGCTACAACAAGCAGTTTAGACTCCTCAGTCTTCCACATCGATATTGCACGCACTCAGTATCCCTTTATTCTGATTACATAATGAATTCCTTTGGGAAATCTACTCACCTGTTTGTTAATATTCTCTCTCCCCTCTTCTCTTCCCTCTCCCTCCCTCATCCCTCTCTGTTTTGGTTTTCTGAGTGAGACAGGATCTTGCCTCCCAGTCCAGACTGGACACAAGTTTGTAGTCATCTTCCTGCCTCCAGCTCCCTTTCGCTGGGATTACAGTCATGTTCGCATGCTGATATTTTATTTTGAAAACACAAATGTAGAGATTTTATTGCAACCAGAGTGCATTCTTTTTGTAAAGATTTTTGCTGAATTTTTCTATGGGGGGTGGATTTTAACAATAATTATAGCAACAAAAGTTTCAATGTCTACTCTTGCAAATTTTATCAGCTGACCACGAGGGCTTTATTCCCTGTGCAATTTTGTCAGCAGCTTTATTTATAAGAAGCTGCTGGGGGAAACTACATAAAGCATAAAATGCTCAATTAGAACATTTCCGTAGGGCGTGTCTAACCTGCAGCCTAACACATCTGTAGGTGACAGTGTCAAAATGTTGGATACCTGGTACCTTTGTCATCTCAGACAGTAAGCAAAGAATTCAGGAAAAAATGCTATAAGGCACTGTACTAATGGTTATGGTATTTCTTATATTTTTCCTGATTAAATTTGTAGTTATATTGGGGAGTGGTTTTGAAACTATATTAAAATGTGACTTGCATTTCTGTATCCTGTCAATGTATTTTTATTTCAGTGTTTGGATGTCTTCCGTGTCATAGGGCAGGGAAAGTATCGCAGTGGGAGAACTTGTGCCTAGTTTAGTATTTACAAGGTTCAGAGTTTGATCTCCAGCACTAGGAGGGAAAAAATCATGTAAGCATTTTAAGAGCAAAAACAATGGCCCAGCAAGATGGTTTAGTGGATCAAAGTACTTTCCATGAAAACCCAGCTCTTTGAGTTCAGTCTCTATCCTCTAAGCTACACACACACACACACACACACACACACACACACACACACTATGGCACATGCATGTCCCTACCCTACACACACATACACACACACACACACACACACACGTGCACATGAAAAGATAATAGCCTACATTGACGGGAATAAATACATAAAGGATGCAGAATATAATTTAACCAGTTTATTGTTACATATGTGTAAAAATACTTTTATATGTTTATGCACATATAAAAACTAGTGATCAAAAAAGCAAGACAATTAGGAATAATAAGTGTAGGTAATAGCTGCGGAGGTAGAAGGAAGGTGCAAACAGAAGGATATAGAAGGGAATTCACAACTGTTGGTAGTATTTCAATAATCAATTGCTTTGCAGTAAGCACTCCCCCACCCCCCAAACACCAGTTGAAATTTGCCTTTTCCCATGAACCTACAGTGTGAACAGAGGCTGTCAAGGACAGCCTGTCTCCATTCAGTCAGAATAGGATCCATGCAGAAGTCATGGACTTAAATCTGTGTGGTCACTCCTGTGCTGGGAAGTTGTTAGTGGCTGTGATCTGGGACTTGCAGTGAGACAGAAGCTAGGCCACGTCCATCATCCCTCTGTCCTTCTCCTCACAGCATAAGGGCTGCCTTCTGAGGGTAAGAGTCAACAGTGTCAGCTGGAAACCAATTTGCCTGTTCTTCCCTGCTGTGACTCTGCTGCATTCTGGTCATCACAGTTAGCCTTGGTGAGGAATATGTAAGGAACAACCACGGCTCAAGAACAAAATACAAATCACTAAAAAAAAAAACAAAACTCCTTTAACCCAACATCAATGTTCACCTTATGGTACATCCTCATATCTCTTTCTCCGTGTGTTTGGAGGGGGAGTGTTGGAACCCTGTGCACTGTTAGTGGGACAATTACATGGTGCAAGCATGGTGGAAAACTGATTCCTTTAAAACAAAATTACCATATGATCCAGAAGTCCCCTCTCTGGGTATATGTCCAAATGCTTAGGAAATCGGACCTCGGTATTTGCACACCCATGTTCATTGGGACATTGTTCACAATAGTCGAGAGATGAAAGCAACCCAACCTAAATTACCATGATAAAAGAGTGGATAGCAACAGTTGATACGTGTGTGAGATGGAATTTATTATTCAGCCTTTGAAAAAATAACAATATAAGGGTCAGGGAGATGGCTCCGTGGGTCACATGCTTCCTGCTCAAGCATGATTTGAGTTTGGATTTCCAGAACTCATACAATCAAAGTGTGATAGTGTGTGCATCTGTAACCCCAGTGCTGGGGGCGGGGCAGGGGGCGGGGATATAGACTGGGGGCGGGGCAGGGGGCGGGGATGGAGGGGACAGGGACAAGTTGATCTCCACCGCCCATTGCCTGCCAGGTTCAGGTTCAGAATTAGTGGAAGCCCTTGTCTCAGAAATGAGGGAGGCAGGACTGGAGCGATGACTGAAGAGTTAAGGGCACTGGCTGCTATGCAGCCGACCTGCATCAGCTTTCCAGCACCCACGTGGTGGCTCACAACAGTCTGGGATTGATGTGGCATGCCCCTCTGTAGGCTGTGGGTATGTCTTATTACCATTGGTTACTAAGCGGATTTGGCCAATAGCCAAGCAGAATATAGCTAGGTGGGAAAGCTAAACTGAAGACAGGGAAAAAGAAGAGTCTGAGAGATGCCAGCAGCCGCAGAGAAGCAAGATGTGAGGTAACAAGCGACAAGCCGAGAAACCCTGTCTCAAAAAACCAAAAAAACAAAACAAAAAAAACAAGCCACAAGCCTTGCAGTAAAATATAAAATAGAAATGGGTCATTTGAAAAGGAAGAGCTAGTTAGTAATAAGCCCGAGCCATCAGCCCAGCGATTATAATTAACATAAGCCTCTGAGTGTTTATTTGGGAACTGGTGGGTAGGAGAGAAACCCTACCCTACATGTAACTCCAGTTCCAGAGATCTGGATCCCTCTTTTGGCCTGTGAGGACACTGCACACATGTGTAGCATGTACATACATCCAGGAACTAGCATACATATAAACAATAGTTTAAAATAAGGTTAAGAGCATTGACTCTGCTTTCCGTGAGCATGGAACATCATCTCATCATCTGGTGCCTTCTTTGCTTTCTTTCCTCTTAACGTGTTCATTCTAGAGGTCTTTTTCACTAATGGGATGGTTTTCCCAATTCCTTTCTTAGCAAGTTTGTAATTGTGATAAAGAAAACCTACTGACTTTTGTATCTTAATTTTGTATCCTTCTTTTGCTGAAAGAATCTGTCTGATCTAAGAATTTCTTGTGGGATCTAGGATCTTTTAAGTGTTGGGTCATATCATCTACAAGTAGGGTGTTTTTGGTTTTTTTTTTGTTTTGTTTTTGGGTTTTCCCATTTGTATCTCTTTTTTTTTTTGATTGTTTCTTTAGCTAAGACTGAGCATCATATTGGATAAGCGCAGAGAGAGTGAGCACCCTGTGTTGTTCATGATCTTAGGGGAAATGCTTTCCATTTTTCTACATTTGGTATGATGGTGATTATAGGTTTGTCATAGCCAATATTTACTATATTGAGATATGTTCCCTTTATAGTTTTCTCAGGTCTTTAACATGAAGGGATGTTGAACTTTATCAAAGGCTTTTGTGCATCTGTTGAGGTGATCTTGTGATTTCTATCCTTAAGGTCATACTTCCAGCCAACCAGCTTGGCCATGGTGTATAGTCTCAGTGTGTTCTTGAATTCAGCCTGCAGGACTTCTGTTGAGAATTCTTGTTTCATGAGGTTTTGTGAAGTGGCCTTATTCCACTTTGGTACTGGGATAATGCTGACTTCCTTGAACAAGTTTGATAGCGTTCTTTCTCTTATGCTTTATAAAACACTTGGAGAAGCGTTGGTCTAGCTCTTTCACTTTTAAGGGTTGGTAGAATTCAACTGTGAATTCACCTGGTTCTGGGCTTTTATTTGTAAAGAGAGTTTGTGTCATAATTGCTATGGATATGCTTAAATACTGCTTATATTTTCTTATTAATTTTGGTAGTTCATATGTGTCTAAGAATTTGTCCATTTCCTGTACTTTCCAGCATTTTTTTTAAAAAAAAAGTTTTTGTAGTAATCTGTAATAATCCTTTAGATTTCATTGAAATCTGTTGCAACACCCCATTTTTAGTCTTTAGTTTTATTAATCTGAATCTTCTCTCTCCCTCCCCCATCTGGTCATTACGGTTATGGGTTTGCCAGTATTATTTGTTGTATTATTTTTGTAAAGCATTAACTATGTGATGGAGTCTATGGAGTGCCCTTTCAGTCTCTGTACAAAGCTTACATTTCGAATACTAACCTAGTAACTAACTAAAGTAGCTAATCCTTGAGGTATTTTAATCTTAAACTTTCCATCCCCGCCTCACTCGCTACTGACACACCACCAACGTGTGTATTCAAAATCGTGTGCACTCGGTAGGGAAGGTGCGATACCGGTGTGGGGTCAGGGATGCATTCCTTGGTTTCTAGTGCTGTAAGGAATTTATGGAATGGGTTCCATCGTTTTCTGGAGGAAGACACTGAAGTTCGTACAGGAGAAACTCCCATCTGAGGCAAGTTTGTTTGGTGTACCGTCCCCACAGGGTCTCTTTCTGGGTACAGCCTGTGAAAACATTTAAACTTAATCCACCTTCACGAGGACGCCAACCTGCGCCTGCAGCGGACTCCAGAACGCCCACCCGCGCGTGCGCACTGAGCTCCCCGGCCTCCTCTGGCTCGGGAACCTCCAGCCCGCGGTTCCTTGTGCAGAATCGGCCGCTTCCGCCCGGCGAGTTTTGCCGGGAGCACCGAGGGGCGGGCCATACAGCAGGTTAAAATGGAGCTGGTGGAGGTCCTGAGGCGCGGGCTGCAGCAGGTCACCGGCCACGGCGGACTGCGGGGCTTACTGAGGATTTTCTTCAGGTAGGAGGCCAGAGCTCGACTCCCGGGTCTCTGGGGACGGCTCCGGCTGCTTTCCTGGAAAGGGACCCGGATTCCATCGCCTGGAGGACCGACGCGACGGGCTCAGTCAAGGACGACAGGCTCAGTGTCCGGGTTGTCACCCTGGGAAGGCTCCAGCTCCGGCTCCGGCTCCGTCCCGAGCGACGGCGCTGTGCCACAAGGGCTAGGGCCGCTGGGCTGCACCGGTCCCGAGTCCTGGGGTTTAAATTTACCAGACGAGCCCTCGGTGACCTTGGGAAAGTTTCCCGCGGCGCTGGCGAACTGTAAAAAGTTGAAGGAGTCGATCCTTATCCTCCATGTCAGTCCCTGATAGTCCTGCAAACAGCAGCAACTGCGGGGAACCACTTGGAGGCCTGTAGTGGATTGGAAAATCCAGGAGGCGTTCAGAATACGAAGATAACATTCTTTGACTCGCAGAATAGTTTGCAAACTGGTGTCTCTGGGTGCAGGGAAGGTAGATGCGTGCGCTGTGGCGTGAAGGTCGTGTTTTCAATATAATTTAAGCACACAGTGGTGTTGGTTCATTTTTTTCACCTGTCTCCATGCTACTGGGACAACACAGGAGATGCCAGAGTTCTTAGCAGGAAAGTTGATTCTTGAACGTTGAGTGGCAAGAACCTTCTGCTGAAGGCTAGAGGTGTATAACTGACTCTGTCCCCATAATCTCCTCATTCTTGTAGCTGATGCAGCAGTAGACGGTAGTCTTCTCTCTTTTTGAGACAGCGTTTCTCTGTGAAACAGCCCGGCTGTCCTGGAACTCACTCTGTAGACCAGGCTGGCCTCGAACTCACAGAGATTTGCCTCTCTCTGCCTCCCAAATGCTGAGATTAAAGGCGTGCGCCGCTAACGCCCAGCTTCTGTTTGTGTCTTGAACAGTGAACCATTCTGAGATGCCTTTTCCCCTGTGTACTTACAGGGCAAATGACATACGGGTTGGTACTTTGGTGGGAGAAGACAAATATGGAAACAAATACTACGAGGACAACAAGCAGTTTTTTGGTGAGTGCAGTGTTTTCTCTATGAATAATTGGACCAGGGTTGGGATGTTGAGTCTGTTTTCCATATCATGCATGAGCTTATGCAAAGTACTTGGAAAGAAGCGTAAAATTCGACGGAAGATCTTAAAGATGAACCAACAAGATGGCTCGGCCAGTTTGGACACCTGCCACCAAGCCTGATGACCTGAGTTATTCCTGTAGTAGGCTCCTTAGACAACCATGTGCCACATCTTTCAGGTGAAGAAACCAAGATATCAGCTGGCTATTACAGTTTACTATTACAGTTCACACGGCTGCAAAGTTGGTACCCCAGAGGTTAGCATCTTGTTCTATAGCCATAACCCTCTAAACGCAAACCATAGAACTTTAGACTTGGGTTAGACGTTAAGAAGTAATCTGAGCTGGACATTGTGGCTCTCATGATCCCAGCCGTCTGGGGGCAGTGGCGAGAGAATTGCCAGAGGATGGAGGCTAGCTGGGACAGCCTGGACTACAGAGTGAGACCATATTTCAAAAACAAACAAATGCATAAATGAATGAATGAATGAATGAATGAAAGAAAGAAGGCAAAAACCAAAAGAAATTGCCTAAAAACTGGTTTTTATAGATGATGCAGCCAGTGTTCAAGGAAATGCCTTTGCCAAAGAGACTTAATCCTATAACAGAAATGGCAAGAGAGCCCCAAGGGGTTTTCTTTCCGCTCAGTCCTGTGTTGTTAGGAATCAAACTGGCTTTTCTTCTGCTCTCACATTAAAATAGAAGTATCTTCATTTTTGCTGATCATTAATGTGATATGTACTGTTGAAAACTTTACATTTTAGTGTCTAGAGCAGAGTGAGGATTGAGCTGAGAATTTTAAATAGTTCAGTGATAGAGTCCTTTCCGTGTGTTGCCCAGGCCCTGGGTTCAGCTGCTAAGTACAGGGGTAACAAGGAAGAACAAAGTGGAAAGTGCCTTCTGCCGTAAGATTACTCTATTTCTCTTTTCCTAGTTTAATTACATTTCTTGGTTTATCTTCCTTATGTGTGGGTGTGTGAGTCCCATGGTGCACATATGAAGGTCAGAGGACAACATGAGGGAGTTCATTCTCTCCTTCCACAGTGTAGGACGCAGTGATTGAACTCAGGTCCTCACACTTGGCTGCAAGCCCCTTTGCCCACTGCCATCTTGTTGACCCTTGTACTTTTCCTTCTCTTTTAATACTTTAACTTATGTATATTTTAAAGACTTTTTTTGTTTATTTAGGTTTTTTGTTTTTTTTTTTTTTTTGATTTTTCAAGACAGGGTTTCTCTGTAGCTTTGGAGCCTGTTCTGTCCTGGAATTAGCTCTTGTAAACCAGGCTGGCCTCAAACTCACAGAGATCTGCCTGCCTCTGCCTCCAGAGTGCTGGGATTAATGGTGGGGGGTAGATAGATAGCTCTGTAATTAACAATACTTGCTGCTCTTGCAGAGGGCTTGGCTTCAATTCACAGTATCCACCTGGTAGCTCACAGCTGTCTATAACTCTAGTTCCAGGGGAATCTGATGCCCACTTTTGAACTCCATGGGTACCACGCACACATGTGGTGTACATATATACATGCAGACAAAGCACCCATATACATAAAATAAAAATAAATAAAACAAATTCCTGGAAGTGATTGCTAAGTGTGTACATGGACTTTCAAGATCAAAATAATTTTTTTTTTTTTAGATTTAATGGGTATGAATGTGCTTGCCTGCATGTTTGTCTGTACCATAAGCATGCGTGGTGTCTATAGAAGCCAGAAGAAGATATCAGTTACCCTGGAATTGGAGTTACAAATGACTGTGAGCCATTGTGTGGGTGACTGGAAACTGAACCAAAGTCCTCTGTAAGAGCAGCAAGTGCTCCTAACTGCCGAACCATTTCTCCACCCCTGACTTTCAACATTTTAAAAATGGATGTCTTATTTGAAATTGTTAAGGGTCAGCCCTGTCCTAGTATAAATCTATTCCCAAGGCCTAATTTATCAAACCTTTGCCATGGACCATTCCATCAGCCTTGACAGTCCCCTGCCTGCTTGGATTACAGTTCTTCTCTTTCTTTGTAATGTGTTTTGTGTGCCAGACAGTCTGGTCTTGAATTTAGCTGTTCTGCCAATGGACCTAAAGGAAACTGAGAGCGGGTTTTGGTGTGTGTGTGTGTGTGTGTGTGTGTGTGTGTGTGGTGTGTGTGTGTGTGTGTGTGTAGGCCAACCTTGAGTATCATTCCTCAGGCACCATTTGCCTTCACCTTTTTTTCCTTTCATTGGCCTGGAACTCACCAAGTAGTCTAGGCTGGCCAGTCAGTTTGCCCTCAGGGTCCACCTATCTCTGACTGAGTTGGCATTATATGTACCTACCACCGTGCCCAGCATTTGTTTATTTATTTAATTAATTTATGTGGGTTTTGGGGATCAGACTCATGTCCTTGTACTTACAAGGTAAGCACATCACTGACCAGTTTTCTCCCTAGCCCTGGAAACAGTTTTAGAAGCAGTAGATAGGCCGCTCAACTCATTTCACAGATATTTGTTAAATAAAATAGCACAGCCATGCTATTTTGAAGACATGAACTGTCCTCGTACCTAACCATCATTCATAATACTCCCCTATCATACAAGTTTCACACTTCTCCAAAGGATCACATGGTTTCTTTTTTTTTTCTTTTTCTTTCTTTCTTTTTTTTTTTTGGTTTTAAATTATTTAGAATCCTAAATTAACATGTAGTGTTGTGAATACATTTTGGCTCTGATCTCTGAAGAATTCTCTTTTCTGGAAATACCCGGGGCAGGCAGGACCACACGTGCCTCTGCTCATTTCTGTGTCAGGGAGTTGGGGAGAAACAAGGATTTTCCACCCAGAAAAGGTTGTGAGCCCCCTCCCCCAGCTTAATCCCTGTTCTGTGATGAGGCCTGCTTCCCAGTGCACCAGGATGCGGTCCCTCCAGCATCTCCGTTGTGTTAGAACACAGTGGTACTGTCTTTTTGTTTATGTGCAGATGCCTAAGAAATGATCTTCTCCCGTGCAGGCCGCCACCGATGGGTCATCTACACCACTGAAATGCATGGCAAAAACACGTTCTGGGACATGGATGGAAGCATGGTGCCTCCCGAGTGGTAAGCTAAGCCGCTGTGCTAAATAGAAGGGCCTATCGCCTAGTTATTTGTAAGGCGTTTGCTAGTGATGTGAGTGTGTCCCTGGGACAGTGCTACACAAGTTACTCCTCAGCGTAAGTGGTTTAAAGCAGCAATCACTTGTTTTTCCATAACTTCTGTGACTGAGGGGCTCTAGGCCAAACAAGATGTCTGGTCTCTGCTCTGGGATGTCCGGGACCTCGGGGTTCCAAGCTCAGCTGAAGGAGTGTTCACTTTGCAGCTGGCAGGTAGTTAATGCTGGCTGTCAGCACTGATGAATGCTGGGAGCCTCGCTGAGGCTGTGGTTGGAACCCCTTCATGTTCTGCCGGTGAGTGCTCGGAGAAAAGAGCGGAAGCCATACTGCCTTGTTAGATCTGGCCTTGGAAACAGTCATTATTACATCCGTCTTCCTTGCATTAAGACAGAAAGTGCTGCCCCAGTTCGGCAGACGGCATTGAGTGTCTTTCCTTGAAGGCATGTTAAAATGACGTTATATGTATGTAATATATAATGGTGTGGTCATCTAGGAAGACACACGCAGTATCACCTATGTGAGCGAAGGGAACTGCACAGAGAAACCTGGCTCTGGACTTCTCCAGCAGTTTGAATCCAGCCATGTCCCTCAGCTTCTTTAGGGCGTGATTTCCTCATCTATATAGCGAGAGTCCTAAAATTCCTTAAGTCTCTAAAACCTATGGTTTCATAATATGCATGCAAATTTATATAAAATATTTCAGAGCAAAGTACTAATATTTAAAATTTTGTTTTTGATTCTTGAAATAACAAACTCTGAAAATCCTTCCCAGTTGGTCTAGAAATTTTCATTTAAGAAAATTCAAACAACAAAGACACAGCTGGAAATTGCTGATGTAGTGGGGCAAGCTTGGAATCCTGTCCATGTAGAAGGCTGAGCCGGAAGGACAGTGCCGCCTGCACACGAGGGCTGGGGCGATGGCTCACTGACAGCGTTCACCCAGCACCAGGCCTTGCTCTCAGCTCCTAATACTACAAAGCAAACAGCAGTAAACGTAACCCCAGAAGTTAATGCATTAGGTTGGCTGTGACATGTGATTCTAGTTGAACCTGGTCACTGACATGGCTTGCGGGTCTATTGAAGAGGAACTGGGGTAAGCGCACAGTAAGCTCTTCAATTCTAAAGACTCTTGGAAACCAGGCCTGGGATGTTACAGTATAGGTGAAATGCAAGCGTAAGACAGAAGGAGCTGGGGATTGCCATGAGCTGGAAACACAGACTCCTCCAAGAGGGTGGCAGCCTACTCAGCTCTCCCTGGTGCCGGTAGGTGAGAGACACATCAAGGCTTTCCAGATAATGAGTGTATTTGTGTTTTCATTAGGAGAGTTCTTGTTTTTCTAACATTATTATTTTTTTTGTAGCAGTTTAAGTATGCCCAATAGAATGTTCCATGGTGATGGAAATCTGTGTCTGCACAGTCTAACCCAGAAGGCACATCTGGTCCCAAGCACTCTAAAATGTGGCTAATACAACTAAGACAATGGGTCATTTGTTTATTTACATATAAGTTGGGGGTGGGGTCAGAGCTTCATTCTGTAGTCTAGGCTGGTCTGGAGTTCATGGTGATCCTCCTGGCTGAGCTTCCCAAGTACTAAGATAACAGACAGGTGTCACCCTTTTATTCATATAGTCAGCCTTTTATTAGCGTCAAATGGGCTACTTGATTGGGCAATCCGTTTTCCAGAATGCTGTTTGGCAAAGAAAACAAGTCTCCCAAGCCCTCTCACGCACAAGGAGGCTTTCACCTGGGCTGGTACTCAAGCTGACTGGGAGCTCTGGTGCCCTTGCCGGAAGTCACTGAGTGTGAGAGGTAAAAGCAGCAGCAGCTCAGAGGTGGCACCTTTAGGCTTAGTGTTGGTGTTTTAAGGGGACTAGGCTGTGGCTCTGTTACGGTCCAGGGAGCTGTCCGGGTCTAGAGCTGCCATCCCTAACTAAAGCAGTTCTCTGTGTTAAAGGATTCAACCCACACAGCCTCAAGGTCAAGTATAGGGCTTGCGAGCTGAGGGACCACCTTGCTTTTGTGAGACTGATTGTCTGTAGCTGGAGTTCGTGCTGCGTGGACATGAAAGACGTGTGTGCCGTTGTGTTCAGACTGACATCTGTCCCCTTTAGATACTAGCTTCTGTGCTTGGCGTCAGCATCTTGGGAGCCGGGAAATAGGGGGTGCTGGTTTAAATTATGTGGAATGAAGCCCATTTCAAACTAGAATTAAAAATTTGGTGAGATCAAAGTCCTGTTGAGCCGAGCAAGCGAGTCCTTTTATATACGATCATGTATAGATCACACGGATGAGAGGGCAGAGCTAGAGAAGACAGGAGCACTCTGCCAGCTGCCTGAGGGCGACAGAGGAGAGGGAGCTGGGTTTCTCTGTGAAAGGGGTCTCCCAAGGGTAGACTTTGATGCCTCCTCTCTGTATGGGGGAGAAGTGGTGGAGGCAGGCTGAGCTCTGTTTGTTCTTAGACTGACCTCAGTCTGCTAGCTGTGGCATGCTGTGGAGTTCTCCCTTCCTCCCAGCCGTAAGTCTGAAGGTGACCCGGATGTCATAGTTTCTGCCTGTGATCTTGGCGCTCCAGAGGCTGAGGCAGGATGGCCATGAATTCAAGACCAGACTGGAGTACAGTGTAATCCTGCCTAACAAAACAAAATAAAATTGAAGGTGAGTTTATCTTTAAGTGGAGAACCAGGTAGCATTATGCATGTGTGGTATGAGTAACAGATGCAACTTAATCATCACTGTACACTCAGCTTTATTGAGTACACAGTGCTTCTAAACTAAAGTAGATACTACAAACGGAACATTGGATAAAACACGTGTATGTTCTTATGGCAGAAAAACTTGTGTCTTTTTCTGGGTGTATTCGAAGTAACCATAAAAGCAAAGAAGATAAAATGAAGCTGGGATTTATGTGAAGGAGGGGGAATCCAGGGTGTGTGTCTAGGTGTGTGTATATTTTTTTTTTTTTTTTTTGAGACAGAGTCTTGCTCTATAGCCTATGTTGGCCTCAAACTCATGATCCTGCCCCGACTTCTGGGTGCTGGTAGCTGGAGTTAATGGCATAGACCACTGTGCCCTGCTTAGGAGGTTATTTTAATACAGGGGACAGGGAAATCTTTGAGGAAGTGACATTTGGGGAACTTAGGAGGGGTGGGAGTTCCAGGAAGAATTTTCCCTAGAAGCTTAGCAGTGGGAGCTCTGGTGTGTCACACACACTCTTGGTGTGTTGCACACAATCCTTGGTGTGTCATAAGAACAGCAGCATGGCTCGTTTGACTGTAGCATGCAGGGGAGGGGGAGATGAGCTACAGGATAGGACAAATACTGTTTGGTTTTCAGGCTGGAGATACAGCTCAGGACACGTGCCCAGGATGTGCAAGCATGTGCTCAATCCACAGCAGCAGTAAATCAGTCAGTCAGTAAGAGTCCGTTAAAGTAGGGAAAGGAACACACCTGAGAGTTGTTGGAAGGTGGCGTTTCCTCACGTGTCCTGCATGTGGACAGGGTGTCGCAGAAATAAGGCCATGCTTTTCTTGTTGCGCTTTGCCAAGCAGCCTCCAGTCTGGATTTGTCCCAGTGGTAATTATATCTTCTGTCAGTTCATTAAGATGTCTGCTAGGTTTTCCTAAAAAAAGAAATGACTCGTTTTCCTTTTGTAGTTAATTAGCATCTTGTAAGGCAATATGTTGGAGTTTCATATCCCATTCATATTTTTAATATACTTATGCTAGTATCAATTCCTGTTTGAGTCAGTGGATTAGAATCAATTTCTCTAATTAGTTCTTTTATTAATTAAATTGGGCTCAATTTGATTACTGGGGCTCATTTGGAATGCCTTTTGGATGCTTTTGAAATGACCCCATCCTTCTTAGAGTGTGCCCTTGCTTTCCGGTTCCAGGGGCTTCCCTTTCACTTCCTGGCTCCTGTCTCCACTTTGTGAACACAGACTTCTCTGCAGGAGATGGGTTAGGGCGTGCCATCCAGTCCAGTCAGAAGGAAACTGAAGAGCCATGAGCTCTGCTCTTTTTGCTGTAATAGTTTTGCTAGATGATGAAAGTTGAATGGGATCTGAGGATTACAAGACAGTGTTGTGGTTGAAACGCCATTGAAGGTCATTCTACAAATGGTCATGAGCGTAATGAAGAAGGATATTCCTGATATGTGCTGAAAGCTAGGCTTCTCGGGCCAGTTAGCTAAGCTGGGAACTCACAGGAAAGGGTCTTGATTGAAAGGGAACACAGCAAAGGACCGTTAGGAGAGCAGAACTGACTTCTTGCTAAAGAAAGGTTTGGTGGTCTCGATATTAGATCAGATTAGCCATGGTGTTGCCTTAAGACAGAGCCTGATCCAGAGTAAGATCATGGCTCTTCACCCTTTCTGTAAAGGCTGAGAGAGATGAGGAAGCCATGGGGAAATGTTTGAAGCTAGTGGGGGAGCCTTATGAAGTTTAAGGAAAGAAAGCATTTCTGTGACGTCACAGTCGCGTGTGTAGCTGCAGGGCCCTGTGTAGAAGCTGCAGCAAGTTATCCAGAAGATGCAGCTGAGATCACTGATGAAGGTGGCTATGCTAAATGACAGTTTCAATGCAGATGAAACAACTCCTCTGCACTAGAGTTGAATTTCATAACCAGACTTGAGAGACATCAGTGCCTGGCTCGACGGGTTACTCTCCTCTTCAAGCCCCATGCAGCAGAGGCTTCAGGTCAAAGTCAGGGCTGTTTGCTGTTCCAGAAACCCGTGCTCTGAGGCAGTGAGCAAACCCTGTGGTCTATGAATGGGATGGCAAAGCCTGACAGCAGCATTTCTGCTCACAGCCCGATTGACTGATGTCGCTGTGGAGACCTACTGTCAGAAATAAAGATTCCTTTCCAGCATCATTCTCACTGACAACACTTCCTGAGGGCTCCAAGGGAGATGGACAGGAAATGAGTGCTTACAGTCCTGCTAACACA